TGTGAGCCGTTTTTTAATGGCCTACTTATTGATTTAAAGGGAAAAAAAGGGAAACATGGTTTGCTCGACACGCTGATCTACTTAACGATCAAACATTAGATAAAACAGCATAACCTGACTCTGAAACGGACTTTTCTTCTACTGAATCGACACTATGAGAGGGACATGCGCGTAAAGAGCAGAACTTTTCCGTTTCAAATTAGCTGGCAGTAAGACAAAAATAACCGATTTGAAACTTCTTTTAAATCGGTTATTTTTAATTATTATAAGTCTGCATTAGCTGTTTCCTATGATTGTGAAGACCCACGTTCGTTCAAGTCTATCTGCTTAAAATGTAATAGTACTCGTCCCTTGTCTCGTCCAATAACTTGTTGTATGTAGCTGTTGTTTCTCTTGTATTACTGTGCTTTTTAATATGTCTCGTTTTATTAGTGTCCGGGCCCGCTGTAATTGGCCACGGCTGTTGCGGTGTCCCTGCCAATGTTCTTTCTGTGGTCTGTTTGTTTGTTTGTTTGTTTGTTTGGCGAAGCTAATAAAAAAATAAAATAAAATGAAATAAATCGGTTCCTGTCTTTGCANATATATGAACTTCATATATTTCATTGTATCTCATTTATCACTTTCACGGGTTTATTACGAATCAACTTAACGGCCTGCTCCCAGTTGGCTTGTTAGCTCAATTGGTAGAGCGCTGCACTAGTATCGCAGAGGTCAGTGGTTCGAATCCCGTACAGGCCTGATTTTTTTCAGGTCTGATTTTCGCTATTGCTTAAATAGCGCTATCTACTGCGAGGATCGTGCATCATATGTATCTAATACCGCAGTACAAAATATATGAACTTCATATATTTCATTGTATCTCATTTATCACTTTCACGGGTTTATTACGAATCAACTTAACGGCCTGCTCCCAGTTGGCTTGTTAGCTCAATTGGTAGAGCGCTGCACTAGTATCGCAGAGGTCAGTGGTTCGAATCCCGTACAGGCCTGATTTTTTTCAGGTCTGATTTTCGCTATTGCTTAAATAGCGCTATCTACTGCGAGGATCGTGCATCATACGTATCTAATACCGCAGTTCAAAATATATGAACTTCATATATTTCATTGTATCTGATTTATCACTTTCACGGGTTTATTACGAATCAACTTAACGGCCTGCTCCCAGTTGGCTTGTTAGCTCAATTGGTAGAGCGCTGCACTAGTATCGCAGAGGTCAGTGGTTCGAATCCCGTACAGGCCTGATTTTTTTCAGGTCTGATTTTCGCTATTGCTTAAATAGCGCTATCTACTGCGAGGATCGTGCATCATACGTATCTAATACCGCAGTTCAAAATATATGAACTTCATATATTTCATTGTATCTGATTTATCACTTTCACGGGTTTATTACGAATCAACTTAACGGCCTGCTCCCAGTTGGCTTGTTAGCTCAATTGGTAGAGCGCTGCACTAGTATCGCAGAGGTCAGTGGTTCGAATCCCGTACAGGCCTGATTTTTTTCAGGTCTGATTTTCGCTATTGCTTAAATAGCGCTATCTACTGCGAGGATCGTGCATCATAGGTATCTAATACCGAAGTACAAAATATATGAACTTCGTATATTTCATTGTATCTCAAATGAATGATTGACAGGTACTTTTTTTTTTTTTTGCTTACCTTACAAATGAATGATTGACAGGTACTTGTTTTTTTGCTTACCTTACAAATGAATGACAGGTCATTGTTTTTTCCTCGAATTTGTGATATTTTTGACACCTGTCGCTCATGACTCAGTGAAGAAAATATAGAAGACGCTAACTTTCGCATCAGTTCATTTCCAACAGGTCTTCTCTTCGCGTCACAACAATATTTTTTTGATACTCGTTGCGAGTTAGTCACCTCGCGGCTTACGGACATTTTTCATATTTACGTGGATGCTTTTATCTCCGCCTAATCCTCTTTAAATCCCTTTGTTACCATTAGCCATTACTTCAAAATCGAACCGTCTGCAATTACGCTTGTATCAATCCCTTAGGTAATACCTTTTGTTTTTTACTACACTCACCCGCACGGAAGAGAACCGTTTGAATTTTAATTCAGAGTTACTTTTTTTACACAGTTTTGTTTGCATGTATACTTTAACGATGCACGAGTTTTAAATGGTATCATTTCGATCTGCGACCTACAACCCATTACCCTCCCATTCATCCTTATCTAACTTGATTTTTGGTACAGGCATGTGTTTCGAATTTGGTTAGGCAATGTCATTAGTAACGGTTGGCACAATATTCGCTTTTATTCATTTCCTTTATAAATCTTTTTTTTTCAGCACACATCTACACTGATTAAAATTTTTTCATGCTTGGGAATACAGGAAACTATTTTATTTTGCAAAGTATTTCTTACAAATCGTGAACTCTTGTGTATTTCGTTCTAAAGTATTTAATAAACACATTCCGTTCAATATGTCTTTATTGTCTTTTGACGCCTATTTGTTCAGCAAATGTCATACCAATGTTCAGAATATTTCACTTCTGTCCACGCTTCTACCTCTCCCATGAGTACATTTGTTTTTTGCCCCGAATCTTGCCATTTTTCATAGACTTTTATGACATCCTCGAACGTAAAACATTTATCCTGTATTTTCTTGCCGACTCTCGCAAATTCGTGCCAATGCGTAAATAAGTACAACTGCATGTGGGCTCCTTGGGGAATACCGTACCGCGCCTTAGTTTTTCAGTGACCGCATGGTCCATGAGTTGACACCACTCCTCAAAATCGATTAATTCCAATGCGCTTCGGCGTGGGGGAATAAACGGCTCGTCTTGTTTTAAAATCTCGTGCACGAGTACCAGAAATATCCGCACATCTCTATAGTCAGCGACGCTAGAAATAAGGCGATGTCATATTTCTAAAGTTGGTGTGGCTTCAAATCCTAAGATGGCATGCAACAAGACGCGGGCGCGACCCGTTTTGGTACAGGCATGTGTATCGAATTTATAAATTTCGTGAGGGCAAAGATAGGATCGATAACATACTTCTTTGGGGTACGAATCGGGAACCTCTTTACAACACTCCATCCTCTCATAAATGACTACACACATTTCATTACAAACAAATTTATTAAAAAAAGAAATTGGAACAATTTAAAGAATCGTTGCCTCTACATTATCTTGTTAAGTTTCCCCCTCTAAACGATGTTTATACCCCTACGGCTACATTCGATGGTTTGATGATTCCTTCTGTTTTAATTTCACTGAGTTTTTTACTCTTGCTGTTTAAGTCACTTATTATTCTCGGAACCCTTACATATGAATCTTAAAGTTGTAAAGGTCCGTTGACGGCTATACGCATTTCCACACATTGTAGGATCTTTTTTCAAGACGAAGTTGTAAATGTTTACCAGTATTTGATAAACCGATGCGACTCTGCTGTTTTTTTAAACCACTCTGGGGAATATTTTTCACATGTCAATGTCACCATTTCACTCATGACCTCTGCATGGCTTAACATGGGATTACGAAACGACGCAAAGATTTCTGTGACATCGTCGACAAAAAACTCATTCAACCTTAATCGCTCTCCCAACTGTACAAATGTTTCCCAATGTTTGAACATGTACAGCTGCATGTGTCCTCCTATGGGGTTTGGCCATGCATTCACTTCTCTCACCGTGTCGTCAAATAATTTTTCACAGGCATCCATGAATCTATACTTGCTGGCTGGGTCTTTCATCTCGAGATCTGGAAATTTCTTTTCAAACACGGCTTGCAAATACCGCAAAAAATAATACACCTCCATGGAATGGCGAGATGTAGAAATGATCTCGTGGCGTCTCTTTTGACATAAGGGGTAGTTGAAATATC